ATTTAGGTGCATACATAATACGTACTGACGTGCGTAACATAATTCCAAATAATGAGACATACTAACCAGAATTAAATAAGAAATAATGTTAGGAGAAAGTCTGAGCGCATTTGCTGGATAGATACATACATACATACATATGTATATACAAACATACTTATGTACAGTACCGTATTATACTCAAATTGTGTAGCTTACCAGTTGGCGACTTACCGTATTAATACACCTGCTTGTTGGTATCTTTCCCCCCCGACTAGTTTTTACACAGCTACATACATCTCTTTGTTGTTGTTCTTGCTGTAGTTACTTTGCAAATGGTTTTATATGACTTTGCTTTCAATGTAGTTGTTTAGAGGCCCAACCCTCTTGCGTTGCTCTTGTTGCATAAATTATTTTAGTATTTATTTTTAGAGAGTTGCAAACAAGTTTAATGTTTGGAGAAATCTCATATCTTTAGTTTTTAATTATGTAGATATGTATATACATACATACATACATTCTTTTACTGCTACGCTACATATTATTGTATTCTATTTATACACATTCTTCATTTTTTATAAATTCCATATAGCGCACAAATTCGGCTATTAGACCGTTCCACTACTTGCTACCCAATTTGCCCGTCCCGACCGTTTATTCATCTATGGGAGCGCTACTGGCTAGAAATTAAACATGGCGTCAAAGGTGTAGGTGCTCTGCTGCCGCTTTTAACCAAATCTTTTCGCGTGATAACTCGCGAAACCACGTCGAAAAAAAGGAAAATTTCATGAAAATATTGCCACCAAACTAACAAACTTCACTTTTTTATGAGATCTGTATGGTTTTTTGCATAAATATTTCTGGAAAAGTGTACAAATTTCGTGAATATAGACAGTGCGTTACTTTTTCTGCAGAAGTGAAAATTTACATATCTACATGAAGTTGGCTGCAATAGCTATTTCAATTGCTCTTTTCTTTTTCATCATTTCGCAGTGTTGTATTTAAGCTGACAGCCGTTTCGATTAAAAATTAACAATAGGATGGATGGAATAATCCCATAAATCCACGATTCAATAATTGAATCATAAGTTTAGTGCAAGAAAAACTCTAAGGTCGGTGTTATGCAGAAATTTTGTTTGGCAAACTGATTAAACAGATTAAACCGATAACTTTCCGGTGTCCATCCTAGTTTACTCGACTAATTTTGCGAAAAGAAGAAAAGTCGATGGCGAAAGTAAAACAGTGTTCACATGAAGCGATTTTCCAGGCAATTTCAGAGGCGATTAGATGCTTCCAAGTCATTGGCGCGTATTCATAGTTCAGCCACTAAGTCGAAACTAATAATGTTGCAACTTAAATTTAAGTACCAACTTAAAAATTCACTTTTATTCATAGTCCCATTTCAGACTTCTACTAAGTAGTTTTAACTTAGTTTTACGATATTGCAAAACGAGTGTGAAAATTTATCGATTTTTCTTTACGATCTTTTGTAAAAATTACATTTTTATTAAATAATGTCAAGTTTGATTATCCGTTTATTTTTACATACATTCATTGCATGTTTATGCAAAAGAATAAGGTATAAGTTTGTTGTTAATTGTGTGAAATAGCCAGAACTACCGTAATGATGTGAAGTCGATGTTTATCAAAAGCATACTGTAAAACATACAAACACATATCTAAATGTTATGCACCAATTTTCTCTAAAAGAAAAGTTTGAAATTGACTTATTATTTGAGCATTTATATATGTAAATCATTCCAATTATAAAATTGTGATGTAGCCTTATTCGAATTGAAATACGCATTTAATTTCATCTTCCGATTCAAATGGATCGCTCTTTGTAAATTTCAATTGAAGATCATTCAATATTATCAAAATCACGCTCTGCCAGCTTAATTTTTAAAAATTTCCTCATTTTTTCATTAATTTAATGAAATACTTATTTATAGTTACGACTTAATTGCAGATGCAGCCGAAACTAAATGTTAGTACTTAGCCAGAAAAGTCTAAACTAAGGCTTTCTGCACATTGGTCGTCCAATCATAGTTACTTCATCGTCACAATCATGATACACCGATTACATGACGGCTACATTTTCGCACACTCGGTCATGATATTTCAATTCATTTCGCGTCTGAAAATTTACTTGGAGCAGGTATTTTCTGTTTTCCTGGTTGATATGTGCTGCAACAATTCTAGACATAACTTTCCAGTAATATCTCTTCTTTTCTTTTCCTAAAATTTGTTTTGTGCATGCACACAGAGACTTTTTACAATTTTTTATAGTTAAACGCTCACGTTTATTGAATTTTATTGCAATTATCCACTTTTTAACAATTTCGAGAGATTTTGTGCCAAAGACACTAATTTTTATGCAATTTTAATGCAAATATTAACTTTTTCACTAATTTTTCCCCATAAAATGTAAACAAACAATGCGTGCACAACGATTAGCAAACGACAGTGCCATACTTATCCGTTTCTGCATCTTCTACGATTTGCCGATAACTAGCCGATAACAAGTGTGCAGATCTTCTTTGAAAGGGTACTGTCAAGGCGAATCTATGGATTCGCCTTGGGTACTGTTTGCATTTTTGTACGCCGCCTACGCAAAAAGCAAGAATGACAGAATACAGAATATAGAATGTTCGCTGCACCGTGCGCAGAAAGCTGCTCTCTGCAAAACCTGTTCAGCCCCTCTTCTTCGGCAACAGAGAAGGAGTGGTGAGGGTTATAATCCTTTTGGAAAAAATCAAAATTTCCCCAATTTTCAAACAGCTCCCAAGAGGTCTGTAGGGATGGTGAGGGGGGAGGGATGACTTTTCATAAAGCGTCGTCCATCCTCTTTCGGGTAAGGTGGGTTTGGGGTGCCACGCCCTCAACCCTCTGCCACCACTACAAAATCATTGTACAAATAAGCAAACATTTCCCCTTTGAAATGCATGTGCTCGGCTCAAAAATTCAGGGCGAGACGATAACGCAACTATGATTGGACGACAAGCGTGCAAGTGTGCAGATAGCCTAAATCGTCATTAGTGACGATGTCACCAGTGACCATTTTCGCTACTGGGTTGTTCGACTTTTAGGGCCGATTGTTCAATGTCTGGTTATCACTACTTGCCGGTTAAACATCATTATCGAGCCTTTTAAATATCTAACGGCATCATTATTACCTTATGTTTTGTTATTAGATAACATAACTCATTAATGCACATACCTCTTCCAATCTGCTTTTAAGCATTAAATTCATTAGTTTTACATAAACCGATAAAATGGATATTGGTCTATAGTTTTGAATACAGATTGAGTCAAGACCTTTTTTTATTTTACGCTATTCCTCTACAATCGTATTACTTAACCAACACGTATTGAATGCCCCAATCAAATTCTCCAAGTTGGATTTAGAGTTTTTTGATCATGTCGCATTTTACACCGTCCAGTCCCGCAGCAGTTGCTTTATTTTTCTTTAAAAGTACTCTTCAATTTTGAAAGGTGTAATGTTTTCAACATATGTTTGCACATAATTGCAGATTGGAGTGTCTGAGGGTATTTATTCTTTCAAATATACCAAAAATTCAATTGCTTTTTCTCATTTCCAAAACTTGTATCTCTAATTCCGTCGTAACGTCTTTTAATAAACAGCTTCATGCCAAAGAAATTAAAGTAATAATACAAATCAATAAATCGCAACCGAGACCCTAATCGGTTTTGGTTATTTTATTGACTATGGACTTAAATATGCTCGCAGTATTTGATTCTGGCAATTCAGTAAGCACGGAACGTGTTGTGCCAACTAATACATTTAAGCGTGGATCAATTGGTAATGTGCCTAGATGTGGTACGCCAGCTCTTTTCGCTAATTCGACGCCACCATCGGATGAGAATATATTTGTACAATTGCTGCAATGTGGACACACAAACCTAAAGTATATGCAAATTTATCAAATAATTATTTTTCTTCGTGTTACCGCTAATACAATTAACAACAAATGGTATATGCATGAACATACCCGCTCATATTTTCCACAATACCCAATACATTTACACCGGTTTTTCGGCAAAATGTTAGCTCCTTACGCACGTCATCTAACGCAACTCCTTGTGGGGTGGTTACCATAATAGCGCCTTCGCATTTCACATCACGCATACATTCCATCACTGTTATGTGTTCATCTGAAGTGCCAGGCGGTGTATCAATCACCAAGTAATCTAATTCATCCCATTTTACATCAGTTAAAAATTGTCGTATCATCATTGTCTTCTTGGGTCCACGCCAAATAACTGGATCATTACGATTTTTTAGCAGGAATCCAATAGACATAACCGCGAGCATTTTATCTTCATCTGTGTAGATGGGCACCCAACCTTCATCACATTGGTAAACATCGCTATTTTCCAAACCAAGCAAATAAGGTACACTCGGGCCGCATAAATCAATGTCCAATAGACCCACCTGTATGGGTAGATACGTTTTACGATTGGAGGAGAATATTATTTCTACTGTACCTTAAATCCGCTTTCCCGCAGTGCTAGTGCCAATTGCGTGCTAACTGTAGATTTACCAACACCGCCTTTCCCAGACAAAACTAATATAACATGCTTCACTTTGTCCAACATTTCAGAAATTACTGAAAATATTTTAAAATTATGCCTGCAAAAAAGAAGCGAATTTTGCCACAAAAATTACCACAATTGAACAATGCGCTGTAAAAAAAGTCCAAAATTGCAGAATCAGCTGTAGCGAATGAGAGGAAAATAAGGAAACTATAGGAAAGGAAAGAGGAATGTCATCCCGAAAAAATTGAAAAATCGCATGAAACCTTGGAAAATGCGTGTTTATAATGGATTAATTCGATAATTTGCGTTGAGAAAGTAAAATCATCTAATGGGCCGTATGAATAAAAAATAAGCAATTGCTTTTCAGAACTTTTACTCGATTTATTCAAACAAAATTGAAGTAAAAGGTATGAAATTTTAAGAAAAAGCAATTGCCTAGTTTTTATTCATACGGCCCAATATATGCTATTAAAAATAATTATTAGTTCGTTTTGACGTGTATCTTTTCCTAAGGGGACAAAAAAGCGATCGATCAAAACAAAACGCAAGAAAGGTGTTTCGCAAAATTAATAAAAACAAAAGCTTTGGCAAAACTCGTTTTTATAAGATCCTTTTATTTAAGAAATAGAAATATGTATTTTAGTAATCACAAGCCCGTAAAAATGATGAAATCATCCGCGCAACAACAGAGTTCATTTTCAAAACAACAGAAGAAATATATTTGCATAAATTGTGGGCATCCAATTGCGGAACTGTATAGGAAATATACAAATACCGCGATCAAAACAAGTCATTGTGTACGTAAAATTTTAAACTTTAATACTTTTCGATATCTCTCTGTATGTATTACTCTCAACCTTAGGAAAAATGTCACAAAGTAGCGGACAAGTACATCGAGTTTGACCCGATAATAATCTTGGTGGATGCAATGCTGCTATCACAGGAGTCTTACCGTCACATGCTGCATAACCGGAATTTTAAGGTAGAAACTGAAAAGATGAATGAATTTTGTATTATTAAAAGAACCCTGTTTTACATATAACTACAGCTAAATTGGAAATTGTCCCTTGTGCTGTTATTGCTCGAATCGTTTGCACTATGGAGACAAAAGGGAATCGTCAGCTTACAAAAAGATGTGTTGCAACATGAAATCATTAGTGAGAAGGGTTTCTATATTTGCTGCTTACAAAATATTATAGGTAATGTTATAATTCGGTGCTCCTCTGCAATAACGACACATCCCCAAACCCTTACTAGAGACATGATGCGTTTAAAAGTAGTAAGGGGTTTTGAGTTGTGTCCTTATTGGAGAGGACCATCCATATGCGGATAGAAATGCATATGAATATTTTTGTAAAAGTAGAGTAGTTCATGGTCCAACGCAACTAAGCGGTCTGGTGATGTACCTACCTTAAAAAGATCATGTACTACTCTATTGAATTTCTATGCATATTAAAGAATATAAAAAGGGTACTCATGTAATATTTCTTTCATTCACAACTTCTCTTCTCTTTAGATTACGTTATTATCACACTAATTTTGTTGATTGTAGCCTGTGTACAGCGTCCAGCACTAATTTCGTGTACAGGCATTAACAAATTCGCTGTTATTCTACTAAAATCGATCACTATAGCAAATTTATCAAAAATGTTTCTTCTACCACTTATTGTATGGCGCGAAAATACTACAGATCTGGGTGCTAATATACATCAGTTACTCGTGCTGGGCCATCATCTATTAGCTTTGGTGTATATTTATGCTATAGTAGGATCTTTTAAAAAATTACAAGCTTTTTTTATCATATTACCGGCTTTTGTAGTAAAAGAATATATTAAGAGCAATATTTCAGTTTACTTGGAATACTACTTTTGAATAAAATTAGTGTTGAACAAAAATAGGAAAATATTTGTTTTTCGACTACAATTAAGTAAAAACATGTACGGCGTACTGCAACTTTTTTTCAATTTACCATATTTCAACTCACCAATTTCTGGTCATACATACATCAATATGCATGCAACATATTTCATTATATGTACGTATTCTATATTTACATTTATTCCTAAAATCTCATCAACATTAAGGTATAAAAAAGATTGTAAAACGATAGCCTACCAATACTGCAAAGCTCGAAAGAATAATCACCCTCATTGCGAGAGTCGTTTCGAATGCAAGTCGTTTTTCGAGTGTCGAATCGTATCAAAAATGTCACGTCATTGCCTAAAGTTTCCACTCGACTAGTGTATTAAACGCAGCACTATAGAGTTTCGACGATTTTCGTCGTTTTCTTATTCCGGCACGACAGTAGACAATGCCAATGTTGTCGAGTCGTACAATTTAGCCTAATTTCCGACTTACGCAATGAGGCTGAATATATTTATGAAGTGGAATTTATGTTGCGCTAATCATTTAAACAGCGCTTATAAAAAGTCGTTTTTTAATAAGTATGTATTTAAACACTGATGTTCATATATTCTCAAAAGTTTTTTTCAAACTTTATTCTAATTATTTTCTTACATGCACATTTTACTAGCATAAATATTTATATAGTTATTTTTTTGTTTGAACCGGAAAGGCAGTAATATGTTATTGGCTTGTTTATAAAAGAATCTTCGAAATAAAGTGTTAAAAGCGAAGCCAATCAAACGCGGAGAACAATTTTAGACATCGAAACAACAGCATTGAATATTTGGCTTAATAATGCAACAAATTTAAGGTACCATCCCCCTAATATTCACCCACTGCAAAAAAACGAATTGTCATACAAAAATGAAATGTATTACATAAAAGTAATTTATTTCCTTTTACATAATTGCGTAATTAAAAATGTTTGTTTATTTATATATGTATGTCTAAAGTTTAGACTAAACACAAGAATGCATATAGTATGTACATATGTACATACATACTGACATACGCAATTGTCTCTTAAGATTGTTATTTTTACTGTACTGTATGAATGTATTTAGGGTTTGCTAGTCCTTTTTGATTTATTTACTATGATTTTATATAATATTTTCGCTTGGGTGCAGGAAATCGTATCTAATCATTTAATACATACTTAAGCTGTTGGTTATCTAAGCTTGGTATATTTTTTCAACAACGGCTGTGTGCTTTTCTTGCTTATATGTATGTTTATATGGATTCTATCTGTATAACTATTTGCCATTTTTCTCTGATGCGCGTATGTATTTAGTTTTTGTATACGCTTATTAAATTTTCATACATATATATATATGTACATACATATGTATGTATCGGCTTAAGATCATTACTAATGCTATAATTATTGTAAAAAAAACTAAAAAAGGGGAAATAGCACAGTCGAATGCGTGGCGCACAAAAGTAAGGATTATACACATTTCGTGAGTGAATTGCTTGACAAATTGGTTACACTCTTGTTTAAAAAATCTGTTATTTCTGCATCAGTAAAAAATTAAAACGAGATATTATTTACAATTATTTAAAAAACGGCACATCAGTAGCATTGTTATAATCTAGCATGTGAGCTAAGGTAACGGTGCAACGTAAATTGTTATTTTTCAATATTTATTCGCCGATACTATTTTTGTATGCCGTGTTTTGAGTTAAAAAGTATTCAAATTCGAAAGTAATCAAAAAATAACAATTAGATAAATCAGTTAAAAATAAAATTTGCATTAAAAATCGAAACAAGGCTTTGTATTGCATGTGGAGTGTTGGTGTTTTTCTTGTTTTAAAACATTTTTTGATTTTATTCAATAAAAAAGTAATCAGGCAAATAATGCAATTCACAAATTCAGTTTTTAAGGCAGGTTATGCATTCCGAAAGAAAGTAGAAATAAAACTCGGAAAGTGAGATGCAGAATCCTAAATGTTGAATTCAAGATGACTTTTGTTAAAATTCACACGCAAGTGAATTGCAGAACCTGCCGGAAATTATTTTTTTTTCGTGCGTATGCAAATGTGAAGTATATTACAAGCAGTCACCTAATTTATCATTAGCACACAAATGACGATTTATTATATATAGTAGTTTGGTTTTCTTCTTCAAAACATAACATTTTTTAAAACACTTTTAGACTACATGTCTCAGTATATGCGCGCCACTGCAAAGCCCCTTTTCTCCCACTGCAGTGCTCAATTATTAATATTGTTACTATAATTAACGCTTATCTTATACGTTACATATAAACCTTCGTTTTAATTGCTACAATTAATTTTTTCTTAATGTTTGCTTCTGTATCCAGCCGTTTATTTTTTCATCAATTACATCTTTTTTTTTTTTTTGCTTTATTTTTCAAACTAATTTATTGTTGTGGCGTGATTCTTTATATTTTTTCGTTAATAATTATTGTTGGTATTCATTTAACATATTTGTATCTCTATGTTCATGATTTTTATGTTGCCTTTACATGTATGTAGATAGTTAGGATTTAAAAAGAAAATTGGACTATTTTATTGCTGCTGTGCTTGCACGCTTACATTCTAATCCCACAAAAACTGCTGCTTCTTTCGTCGAATTACACTTTCGAACTTGAATTCGAAAAGTGTATCGCGTTGTTGGTATTAATTACAACACTGTCCTGTACATGAATACTTTATGCTTGCTGTTGCTGTTTCTTTCTTTAGCTCCTTAACAAATATTTTCTTTGCCTTCCATTCAGCTCTACAGCATATTTTTGTTGTTGTTTGTCGATTGTAATTGTTGGTACTATTGTAATATTGGTATTGTAGTTTTTTTGTGTTTATCTACTTGGTTATGGCGACAACAACGGTGTGCTCCTCTATTGGTTATCGCTGTTATGACGTCTATATATGCATTTGTTTGTGTTGAATTACGATGTCATGTTCCACGACGATGATGATGAACAAGATGAACAGTCATCACTCTCGGGTGTTGCATTGGCACTGTGTGATTTTGGGCCCCAAATGCGTACTGTGGCATCATCACTGGCCGATGCCAAAAGGGACGGATACACAGGATTCCAGGAAACACAATTCACTGTTTTTGTGTGACCAGCCAGCTTGCCCAACGGCTCTTCACGTCGTATATGCCAAATACATACCAATTTATCCTCACTACCGCTCGCCACAAAACTCTCATTTACACCACCAAAGCATGAGTGTATGGCAAATTTGCTCTGACGAATTCCTTGAAACCGACGTACCAGGCACTTGTCCTCCAAATCCCATAGATGCAAGCCTTGGCTAGAAATATTGAGCAGTGCCAAACGATCTGCAGAGTTTACCGTAAAAGTCATGATCGGGTGCGGTTCTTTGAGTATGTCGAAATCTGTACCCGGATCTTCAAAATTATAGCTGTAAAAAGAAGGGAGATCAAACTAATTAATATTACTTGAAGAAAGATTCGAACGAAGCTTGAATCATTTTTTTAATTTGGTTTCTTTACAATATTTAAATACGATAAGGATACATGCACCACTCAAGGCTGAAAAGTGTACACTACTACTAACCCTCTGATACGATAATGACTATCGGATGCTATTATAGTCTTATTGTCTGCGCGGTAGGCCACGCTATTGATGCGCACCCCTTCCCACGTATTGAGAATCGTTCCACTCAGGTCGCACAAATAGAATTGTCCCTTTTGACCGCCGCAAACGAAGCGTGTACCATCGCGATTGAAAGCACCACACGATAGACTGTCATCCACCGATTGAGACATCTTTAACACCAGCTTGCCATCTTCTACATTCCATATACAAATTTCGGGTGTATCATCGGGTCCACCCACTAATAAGAGTTTCGAATCGGGACTCCAGCTAACAAAAGCCACACTTATATTCGATTGACCTTCGAGTATGCGACGATGCTTTAATGTCAACTTATATGGATCTACACCCCATATAATGACTGTGGAATCTTTGCTGCCAGTAGCAAGTTTCAAGCCATCTGGCGAGAATTTACAATACCAAACTTCATCGCAGTGATCGGTGAGTACCTGTATGGTCTGCATGGGAAAGCCATCGGTATCGCAGGTGTGATCACTGAGCAATGATACACTCTGTAGATTTGTTTTAAAGGCCATATCGTGGAAATCGCAATGTTTCGATTGCAATTCAACTGCTTGTTGTAGTAGGTGGCGTAAACGGCGTGGTGGCATCATAACCGATGGTGGTAGGAATGCTTGCAGTCGGTCCATGACCACAGCACGTGATAATATACCTTTGCCTTCCCATTTGGCGCGTTGATAGAGATCGTGATTATTCGAACACATCATATATGAGGAAAGTTGATGGACGCGAGACGTGTTGTGCTGTAACGGTGTTAGCTCATTGCGCAACACATGTAAGGCATCCAATGGACAACCATCGTCCAAAAATTCCAAGTACTTTTGCTCTAATAATAAAAATTTCATTTCGATGATAGTCGACGGTTTGCCATTATCAATGAGTGGTTCAAGCTCCTGTAGAGAAAAAATATGGGCAAACAATAAATTATAATTCGAGATTAGGAAGATAAGAGGTTTTCATAAATTTAAAATCGGCAATGTTGTTGTAACAGGATAAAAATTACGCAAAAGCCTTGTGGAATGCAGCAAAAGTGACTGCCTTGGACAAATATAATAATAATAATAAATATATATATAAACAGTGATGGTCATATAATTAATTTTTCTATTTATTTATTAATTATTTATCAAAAAAATAAATAATTTTTCTGGAACTTGTGCTTACAAATTTTGCAATTTTGATGGTAATTTTTTTAATTTATCGAATTTTTATAAAACTTTTACAAGGTTTGAATCTTCGAATTCAAGGTTTTCGTTGTGAAATAAACTATTTAGAAAAAAAAAACATTAAATTAAAATAAAGAAAAAATAAATCGTCCAAACTTGTAAAGAAGAGTGTCCCTAATATCTGACCACCAATGTATATATAATCCGTAATTAACGTAGAAAATAAGTTTGTTATACATTTTTTTTAACTCACGGCGCGGAATTCATGTTTGTTTCAGTTAGGAAATTTTTTTTTGTATTCCGTCTAAGAGATATATGTATTTCTTACACACAGTGACGAGCACAACTGTAACATGGTGTAGCACTTTTTACTTCAGCCATCGCTATCTTTCCAAGTTCTAACGACTTTCATGCTTCTGTTGTATATTCTTATTGGCACACCTGTACTTCCTTTCTCATAACGATTTCAAGTCAATCCAACCACAATAATAAAACCAGCAGACAAAAATGTAAATTAAGGCAAATGATACAGTTTTGCACTCATATATTTTTAATAACTTTTTGACAATTTTCACGGGAACAAAGAATTATTAACACAATGTTCAGTATATATTTACGTTTTTTAGTTCCTATTTGCAATTTGGCATACCTAATGTGTATCTCTGTAAAAATTCTGGAGCTCATGTACTCCATTGGACGGACTTGCGATACTTAATAAGCTGCACATTTAGTTGATTTCGCAAATTCTCAATGAGATCCATGTCCGCGGATTGTGGAGGTCATTTCAAATTAGCAAATTTTTTCTTTTGTATCCAGTCTTTGCGAACATGTACAGTGTGGTTTGGGTGACTTTTCAGCAGAAACTCTAGTTTTTTCGACTACATTTTGCAAAATATGAACAGATACCTTTCCTTACGCATAATGCCTACTAACGGACCAACAACATTTTTGAAATATAACCCCAAACTATTATTGACCGACCACTGCAATTCACAGTTTACATGATGCGCTTAGGCTTAATTATTGGGTTTTTATCCAATACCATGCCCGGCCATCTGATTGAAAGCGATTAATTTAGTCTTGTCAGACCAAATAACCTTCAATTAAATCGTAAAAATGTGTTTTTATTGCATTTTGTAGAGCCTAATATATCCCAATAGGCAACGGTCCGGTTTTCGTGCGATGCAGCAAAATGCTACCACTCTCGCACATCAAAATGGTGTTTTTCCTCTTTTATGCTGCCTTTACGCTCAATTTGGCAATTCTTCGCCTCGCTGTCTACTGATTTACGGGGGTGGTATCAAAAGTACCCGGCCTAATCTAGAGATTTTGGTAGTTGTTTGATAAAAATCTCTGTGTTAAAAAGTACCTATCTATATATATCTATAAAGCATACACTGAGGGAAATAATGCGTAGTAAAAATGAATACTTTATATTTGATTATCGTTTAAAAATGTTCGAATTTAAAATTAATATTTTCATACAAAATTTATTACGCACGTATTTGACTATTCACATCTGAGTATATACCCAGTAGATAATTTCAGGAGTTAAAAGCCCTTCCGAAAGGCCTTCCTGAGAATCAAGAGGCCTTCCACTCTACATCCCTTTCTCCTTTCTTTTTTGTATGGAGTGGCACAAATTGAAGGGATTCCTCTTTCGCTACCCATAGAAGGCCTTCCAGAAGGGCTTTTTTAGGACGTTTTTCAGAAGGCCTTTTGGAGGAGTTCTTTAAAGTTGCTTCTTTGATTTATAAAAATCATACATCTTTGAAATATTTGCTTAAGGTTTATATCAAATATGTGTTATTGTAACTTTAAATTTTTATTGGAATTCATTTGTAATGTTAAATAATATAAATTTATGCATTCGCGTAAATTGTAAATGGATAAGCCTTTCTAGAAGGCATGCAAGGAAGTACTTTTTCAGTCCTTCTTGGGTAGGCCTCTTAGGATGGCTTCACTTAAAAAGGCCTACCTAAAAATATCTTCTGGGTATGAGTGTACATACGCACCCCAAGCATGCAGGACGCCGCGCTGAGAGCGGTGAAAACACACAGATTCATACATAGTACATGTTTATCCGTACAAATCGCGAGCTGTGGTGTTGATGGATATACAACATTTGAAAACAAATTTATATGCCTGGGTGTAGCTGAGTGCGCAAAGATGCATGCCATAATTTGTTAATATCCAGAAATGGTCAGGGTTCGAATTCCACTGCAGGCAACATGCAAGTAAAATATTTTTTCTTTGTGTTTGTCTTGATTAGTCACTTCACGGATGCTTTTTCAGAACGAATATGCGCGTAATTGAATTGAATATTTACCAATATACAGTACTTTCGTTGACGTTTATAGTAAGATCAATTACGTTTCTATTTGATTTTTATATTTTTTCCCTCAGTGTATGTTTCAAGTTTGAAGACGCCACGTTGTTTAGTATACGCTTGGCAGCCGTCAATAGCCAACGTTTTCACTGAATTTGTGAAAATGGAGAAAATTGGTCATCGTTATGTGATACAATACTTTTATTTGAAAGGTCTCAGCCCATCCAATATAAAAGCTGAAATAGATTCTACTTTTGGGCGGGTCTGCCCCTTCGTTTAAAACAGTAAAATATTGGGTATCAGAGTATAAACGATGCCGTAGGAGCTGCCAAGACGAGCTTCGCAGTGGTCGACAAATGAGGTGACGACTCCAGAAATGGTGAAGAAAATCAAAAAAGCGGTAATGGATGATCGTCGACTGAAAGTGCGGGAGCTAGCAGACATAGTAGGCATTTCAAAAAGTACGGTACATAGCATATTATCTGAAGATTTGGAAATGAAAAAACTGTGTTCAAGATGGCTGCCGCATTTGCTCACACTCGACCAAAAACAGTGTCGTGAAAAGATTTCAATTGAGTGTTTAGCGAGTTAATGAATTAATGGTTGAATTGCTACCCATGCACCCTATTCGCCAGATTTAGCCCCCTTGGACTATTTTCTGTTCCCCAGCTTCAAAAACTGGCTCCGTGGTCAAAGATTTTCTAACGATGAAGCAATGATGTCGGCAGTTAATGGCTCTTTTGGGGAGCAAGACAGTTCTTATTATAAAAAAGGTATCAAACTTATTTAGCATCGCTGGAAAAAGTGTATAGAGCTGAAAGTAGATTATGTTGAAAAATAAATATACTTTTTCCCAAAGTTTTTGTTTTTTCTTTGTTAGGTCGGGTACTTCTGGGACCGCGCCCGTACATTAAGTTTTAATATCTTAAGCGCTTCTGTAATAGGGGCTGCAGCGCTACTTGCTACTAAGTTCGCAAGATATCGGACCGTAATATTTTTTGATAGACTTCCTTTGCCCTTAAGTAGTAGCACTAAAGGCTATATTTTGTATCTGTCTTAACATTTTCATGTAGCAAACTCTACAATTTTTTGCCACTTTTCTTTCGGTCCCGGCTTTCCGCAGTAAATCAATTATTTACATTTATGCTTCCTGATTAACCATACCCCTTTTGACTAAATTACAATACATCTGCCTTCCAACTAAGTAAAAGATAACTGTAAAATGCAAAACGGAGAGTGAGTGCAAAACTGTAACATTTCGTCCCGTTTCTGCCTTAACCACGTATCTACAATCTTTAATATTACCACTTATAACAGCTGTTTAAGCATCACACGATTTGAAAATAGAACAAAGACTTAATGAGGGTGCTCACTACTGTTAGTGGAACCAGAAATATTAAGTAAAAACTGCGTTTATTTTATCCTAGGGGAAGAAATTAAGCAATTTTTCTTACACTCTCTAAAATACCTCTATTGCAGATACGAGGTTAAGGCAGAAATTTGACGATTTGCCTTAATTTCCATTTCTGTCTGCTGGTTTTATTATTGTTGTTGGATTGACTTCAAATCGTTAACTATGTTACAGTTTTGCTCGCCACTGTATGGACATATTAGGTTCTTTCCCGTACGCAACGCGGGACCCCGCTGGAGTCAATGCGACAAAAAAAAAATCTAAAAAAGGAACGGTAATTTGTAGCCACTTGAAATTTGCACATTATCAGACTAAAATTGAAGGGCCTAAAAAAACTGTGTACTCAAAAAATTTCTAACACTTCCGAGCAAAATGTTTGAAATTTTGGTGAACATTTGTTGCACTTTTTTGTAGTTTTCCGCAAATTGTTAAACTTGGGTTTATATGGGGTTTGCCTGAGAATGAACTATATTTTAATTGAAAATTCTCAAAACCAAAAAAATCATTGATAGTGGCAAACAATTTCACTTTTGAATGGCGTGCTATAGAAATGACCGATACCGTATGTACATATATTCAAGGTTAGGTTTTGGCGATATTTTTTCCACTTAACTCTTTCATATTTAATACATCTTTTTCAATTTAGTGGGCTCGTCGATTCGCCATTAACAGTCAAAAATGAGAAATAAACACAACAGGCATTCAAACCTACGATTATCTAGCATTATAAAGATTTACTGATAACGTAGTAGTGATAGTTTGTGCATAGTAATTTCACTAATGTACATACATATGTTTGTATAATTACCTACCGACTAAAGTAGTATCGATTTTGAGTATTAGATGAAAAAAAAAAATTAATGTTAATATTTTGAGCCTCTATAGAGGAATCTGAACTTTGCCCCCTGTGCGACACGCCTTACCCGTCTCCAATCGGGACCAAAATTAATATGTGATATCTTTGACTATAGTACCCAACAAACATTT